CGAAAATTGATGAGGCTCCCCGTTCTGCATCACAATTTTTTCTTCCCGGCTTCGCCGGGGTACTCCTTGCGGTCCATCCTACCTTGCCATTTCAGCAGTATATACTACATAGAACCATAGATGTACACAGCTGTTCATACTGTTAAATAATACCCATTACAACGCAAATGCCGGGCCCTTGGTGGTATTCATAGCCGTCATTGAGATGTCCTGCAGAGGGCCGGCCTTACGCGCTCGCTTACGGAGAGGCTCGGTGATTGATGGGATGGCCCAACACCAAGCCTCCTTGTACCTCCCCTTTCGGAATCCGAATCTCCCACCCAAACAATGCCAAACGTTCTGATTTACCGTGCCGCGGTAAATCGAGCGAAATGTAGCTACATACAAGACCCACTTGTTCGAAACCAAGAAATTCCAAAACGCAAACCGATCGGTCGTCCACATCCTCGCCCACACGGAAACCCCTACTAAACCCGATCCTCCATAAACTCGACCAACCCCCAAACCCTCACACCCTCTTCAGCACTCACACCTCCAACTTCACCAATCCTTCTCGTTCCATATCCACGGTTCCCTCCTGCATCTCCGCTCCCACTAGCCTGAACTTCCTGAACTTCATCGCCAATCCCTGTTCCCACACTTCCTCCTCCTCCGAGTGCGAGCCCACCACCACCCAAAGCATTGCCGCCACCCGAACCTGCACCTAAACCTAAACCTGAACCACCACTAGAACCACCACCACCACCGCCCGCGCCAAATCCAAGTCCAATCCCCTCATCCCCATCCCAGTCCTCATCTCCATCTTCACTATCGCTGACCGGGACCACTCCAAGAGGTGGAATATCATCATCGTCGTCGTCGTCGACGTCCGCGTTCAAGGCACCGCTGTGACTTCCAGTAGCGCCGATACCACCACCTGGCCCAGTACCCTCCACACCATCGACAATCCCAGCTCCCTCCACACCACCGACAACCGCAGGCGATCCTTCACCGTCCGCGTCATCTTCATCTTCAAGTTCGACCGAATCTTCAGCTTCAACGTTCGTACCACCATCCACTGGTTCACCGGCATTCGTCCCACCACCACCACCATAATTCCCTACCACAACATGACTATCTCCCCCACCCTCGACAACTCCCCCTTCCCCCTCCCCATCCTCATCCCCAGGCAACGGAACACTCGACATCTGAACACCTGCCATCGGATCCAGTGATGGGATATAGGTGTACGAACCAGCATCGACGAAGGTGCTAGCATCGACGAAGGTACTAGGACCAGCATCGATGAAGGTACCAGCATCGACAAAAATACTAGGACCTGCTTCAACGACGTTACTAGGACCACCCTGACTCTGACCACTACCCCCACCCCCGCCTTGACTACTCCAAACCTGAACAACACCATCCAACGGGAACCCCTGCGCACCCGCCAACGCTCTCACATCCATCTCCACACCATCCCACACACGCCCGTTCCTCCTCTCCTTCCACCCATCTTCATCCCTCCTCCAGGTCCTCTCCTTCCACCTCTTCGCGTCAGGTACGTCGCCATCCTTGGGTTCCGAAGCATACTTCACAACAGCCCTAATCCCAAATTCCTTCTCCAGATACTCCTGAAGGTGTATCGAACACGTGCGTGAGGGCGGAGGTGGCTTAGCGTCGTCTTCCTCGATGATAGAGTCCACGTCTTGGATGATCGCGTCTAACGACCGACTCAAACCCGCTGCGAGCTCTGGGCGCGAAGGTGGGGGAGCATGTTGAATAACCTCGTCGTCCCTAACCGCGTCGTCGGGATTCACAACCACGTCGTCCCTACCCACCTCATCACCCCCATCCCACAGATCAACAACCATAGCCATATCAACCTCCCTCTTCCTCCCCTTCTCCCCTCCCCTCCCCATCGTCTTCTCTGACGACGACGAATCAAAACTCCACCTCAAAGGCCTACACCTCGCCAACCCAACTTCAAGCCTCCAAAGTCTTCGGTGGACCACCCCTTCGTCACCATCCCGCACTCGAGCGTCGATTAATCGTTCACCATCCCATCCCTCCCTCCTCGTCTCCTCACCACCATCCCACGCGCGAGTTCGGAACCTCACAAACCTAACCAGCTCCCCCTCCGAAAACCTCGCCACCGCACACTTGAGCGATTCGAGGTTCGGACAAAGCACGCGCTCCCTTTCTCTCTCCTTCCCCTTCCCCTTCCCCTTGCCTTTCAACCCTCCTCCTCCTCCTGCCACACTAGAGTCAACCGACCAACCCGCATCCCACACCCCACAAAACGCCTTCAAAAGTCGGTCGGTGGGTACAATCCTCCCCGTCACACCATCGCCATCGCCATCCCTCTCCTCCTCAATCCCACTACCATCCCCAAACCCAGCACCACCATCATGACCACCCGACAGAGATCCAACTCCATACCCAACACCACGATCACCACCGACAACCTCCAACACCCTGAACGCATCCACAACCTCCAACACCCTCAACGCCTCCATACACTCCAAACACCTCATCAACGCGTCCTCCGAAGGCATCGATTCCGCATGTATCGTGAACGACGTGAGACGGAGCGGTTCGAGTTGAGTTTGGAGGAACATGAGGAGTGGTGTGCGGTGTAGATTCTGATTATCGTTCTCGTTCGTCATAGGTCGTTTGCGAGGGCCAACCGAGGCGACTGTCGTGGTGGAGCCAGGGTTCGAATCCGACGTACGCGCAGGCTGAGGATCATCCTCCCTGCTAATCCCCAACATCACCTCGTGAAACTCCCGCAACAACGGCGTAGACCTATACACCAACGTCTTCAAATTCGGAGTCTGGAGTTTCGATGAGAAGAAGCGCGGGATGTCTTGATCTTCGAGGGACCATTGGATATCGAAGAGCGCGAGGTACTCGAGATGGCGCATCCAAATCGTCTTGTTCATCAGCTCTTCCTCGGCTTGTTGTTCTTCTGCTTCGCTCGTCGTTCTCTCGCCTTCTGCACCCACCTCTCCAACTCCATCTCCACCCTCGCCGTCGTCGTCGTTTAGCGTCGCTGGCCGTCGCCTCTGGAACCTCTTCTCCTCATACTGCGTCAACTGCAGCACCAACCTCTCCAACCTCGGCGCCGCATCCATCAGCGCCCTCGCATCCCTAACCGACACAAACGAAAGCGGCGTCTGTCCCGTCCCCTCCACCTCCACCTCCCTCACCTGCTCCCACCTCAACGGCAGACCGAGCACATCGCTATCAACATGGTACCACCCCACACTCTCCAACCTCTCCGCCGTCCACAGCGCCCCTCCCGCCGCTCGTCCCCCTCTCGCCGGTTTCCCCGGATCCACCTTGAGATGTAAACTGACGCGTCGGAGGTGGGGTAAGTCGGATCCTTGAAATCGGAGGACGTAGTCGAGGAGTGAATCGGGTAGGTCGAGGTGAAGTGATGAAAGTCGGGTGTGATACTCCATCACCATCTTCGGGAACGTCCTCTCCAGCGGTGAGTGTCTCTTCGCTCCCCTCGGCCAACACAGCGAGAACTCCAAAGGGAGTTTCCCCGCCCATCGTACCCAGCCCTGCTCGATACCGTCTACGACACGCCTCGTCACCTCCCGCTGTCCAACACCAAGTCCCAGCCCCTCACCCTCGCCCTCCTCCTGCTCCTTCGCGGCGAACGGAATGGCGATATGAACCCGGTTCCACAGCCTCGGCGTGCGCAGCGCTAGCTTCCTCCACTCCCTCGACACCAACGTCAGAACCAACGGCGACGCCCTCGTCGAACAAACAGGTAGATGCCCATCAGGCAACGTATGCTCAAACACCAGCTGCAGCAGCTCATCCGGTATCCTCCTAATCGGCGTAAGCAAAGCTCTATGAGCATCCACTTCGCGTTTGAGGTTTTGACGTTGGACGAGGAGGACGTGGAGCGCCGCCCATGCGTCATGGATTTCACGCTCGAGCGAGGAGAGGGAGGCAACGGGGTCGGAGAGGAGATGGTTGATTTGGGCGATTTCGGAGGGCGAGGGCGCATAGTTGGTGTTTAGACGGGATTTGAAGGGCGAGTTGAGGAGGATGGAGAGTGCGTCGTCGGCGCTGGGTGGTTCCGACATGTCGATTCTAATCTATAGCAGTGTCGTGGGGGCGAATGAAAGAGTTCAAAGGGGCTAGTGCCTTTGTGCTTGGGCGATTGAGCGAGTGGGAGTAGGAATCGCTGGCAGGGTATGTGAGACGTCGATAGTTTGAGCACCTAAGATGATAATTCCTCAGGTCATGAGTCCAACAGACAGAAAGGTACGACGAGGAGCTCGTCGAAGCTCGAAAGACCAAAGGCAAGCACAGCCATTGCCTGCCTGCGTCAACCGTGAGAACGGCATTCACATGCCGCTTCTTGTAGGTGCTGCCATGATTAAATATGTACCCACTTACGCACCCACACTGTCTGTTAAAATATTTGTGTTCTTACTTGTAGATTAATGTTCTTTTTAGATTAATGTTCTTTTGTTTTTCCAGCCTGGCGAGTGGTCCACAACACCGAAAGTCTCCCGGGGTACAAAATCCAAGTTCGCCTTCTCCCACTTCCTGAACCCCATCCTCTTTTCAAGTATCGATTTGCACCTCATCGACGTCGCTTACTAGCCTAGTGTATTGTTATCCAACATACCTATTACCCGCTCGAGCCTTGCTTGCCAAATGTCAGAACACGGCGCTCTCCATCCCGATATGGTCGGCCCACACGGTCACAGTCGCGCACCACTCCCAGATGGCGTCTCAAGCTACCCCTGCCCAGCGTGCTCCTCTGTATGTCAGTACCTGCTAGTACTCCCAGCACTCGGTGCACAAATATCTACTACAACTGACCTTAAACACCTCTAGATGCTACCACAACGACTAGTACTATTACTCACGGCCCCGGACCAGTCTACATCATTGCCGCCGCCAACGTGAATATGGGAACCATTTACGGTGCGTTCAGAGTTGAATGATCAGGCGCCCATGGGTTGGACCCCTGCCCTGATCATGACGCTGACGCTATTTGCTCACGACGCCAACATTCCGTCCTCTACACCCTTTCTGTCCTAATTTAGGCAACGTTCATCAAAACACGAGGGTTCATGGTACTAGTCGAGCAGGAAGCGGCCACTGCCCCCTCGATCATCGCCACGAAGCTCTCCCTCGACGCAGAACCTTTGATCGCTCGACGTCGTTAACAACACAAGTTCAAAATGGGATAACATCCACCATAACAGCAGCATACCAATGGATATGCAGCTACGAGTGGCTAGTACGAGGCGTAGTACAGAGACGGAGAGCGAACGTCGTCCCTCCAGACGAAGCCTTGACATACACCTCCTCTTCTGAGATGCACGACTTCTCTTAGCTCTACTGTACTAATACGGTATAACCACTCATTTCGAAGCTCGGTTATGTATCCATCCATTCCGCCTGGCGTGTAAAGCAGGTGTATACCTCTCCCAATGTAAGTAATCTCGATCTACCTCGAAATACAAATGTCATCATAGCCGTTAAGCGCCCACGGTTCTAGTTGGACGGTCACAGTGGTCACTAAAGCGTGGAAATCAGCCTATTTACCTTTCGAACAGCTGCCAAAGTCACACAAGAGATAGGTTTCAGACATCGTTTTAGCAGTATCCCGATTGATTTTGAACTACGACATAATACGTAGTAGTATTAGAAAGTGGACGCTCAAACGACCGCCTGCAGCAGTTCATCCGGTATCCTTTCTTATAAGCACATCGGCGTAAGCAACGCCCTATGCACATCCACCTCTCTTTTCAGGCGATCCCGTTGAACGAGGATCCTAGCTTGGACTCGAGCGCCGCCCATGCGTTCTTGATTTCGCCATCGAGCCAGGCGAGCTGTGAGGTTAGTAGCGTGTTGATTGGGGCGATTTCGCAGGGGGAGAGCGCGTAGGTGGTGTGGAGATATGAATTGAAGGGGGAGTTGAAGAGGGTGGAGAGTGCGTCGTCGGGACTGGGCGATTCGGACATGTGAATTCTATAGCAGTGGATTGCGGGTGATTGAAAGGCTCACAGGACAGTACCTCGTGCTTTCGCGATTGAGCGACAGGGAAGAGGAACTGCTGGAAAGAATACGCGCAATGTCGGTAGTCTGAGCGCTTAAGGTTGAGAATTGCAACGTCTGTCTTCAGGCCACGAGTTGAACAGAAAGGAACGACGAGGAGCGAGTGCAGAACCAAAAGGCGGACATCGAACGTGGGGGAGCTTCGTTGACCGTGAGAACGGCTGTCACGGCCCGGTCAGACAGGGGGACGTACGGTGGACTGCCAAGGGCGTCCACGAACGACACTACTCTGTCGACGGCACGCCTTGAAAAAGTTTGCTTCTTCTTGGAGCTGTTGAAGTTGCTCGCGACCCTATTAGGGTAACGATAAAATTAGATCCAGTGCGGGTAGGCCAGTGGATGATTGCCGGAGCCGATTGTTTCGTCAATGTGACGACCCCGAGGCGTCAGATTCCCCGATCCAGGCCATGGTTTCTCACGGAGGAGGTCCCCCCCCCCTCCCCCCCAAAATGGGGATAACTACTCTGATTGCCACGGCGGCAGGCTTGACTGTCGAGTCTGAGTTGGGGGTGGAAGATTGTCCTAGGGCCCTTTTTCATCGAGTGGAGTGTTTCCTTCATCATGGTGACTCGTTCCAGGGCTCACCGAGCGCAGACGACGAGTACAGCCCTCCATGTAGCTGTCTGGAGAGCCTCCCTCGTACTCTGCCGACGTTCAGTTCGTGATCCATGCTGATACGAACAGCGGAATTGTGATTGCCATCATTCGAGAACCTATGGCGTGGATCGGTGAATCTGCCGCCTCTTGGTGACGACCAAGAGAGGTGGTCAGGGTCTCGGGCGAGTCGCTCCCTTGCATCATAACCTCGCATTTACGGATAAGATCGCGGAGTCTTTGGGCAAAACGTTTTAGGTAGTTTAGACCTGAACTATTTTGAAACTATCGGCGGGAAACTATTTTGAAACTATCGTAAAACTACTTTTGTTACTAAAATAGTTAAAAGGTACTTTCTCGTAAACTATTTAGGAAAAAAGTCCAAAGTAGTTTTGGGATATTTCGGACCAAACTATGCTATGAACTATTTAAACTAGTTTTTAACATAGTTTGGGTCAAACTATTGTGCGTTGCACCCAGTGCCTAACCCTAACACTAAGACGCGGCTCCCACGGAGGTCAAACGAACGGAAACGGATGAAAGAACCGGAAACGAACCATCATAACTTTAAGCATCGAAGAGGCCTGATTGCCCCTTATAAGATGGGTGATTCCCTCGGAAGATCTCATCCCTCTCCCCAAAGTCCATTCAATATCTTCATATCCAACAGCCCACTCTCACCTTGCCAATGTCGGAACACTGGGCTTCTCACTCCAGCAGGTCACGACCACCCCCCAGCGATACGATTGGCGCACAATCTGAACGTCTTTCGCCCGCCATGCCAATCGACGACTCTGTCTGCCCTTATCCCTGTCCCTGTCCAGTGTGCTCTTCTGGATGTCAGTTCCCTCTACACGATACTTTTTACACGGGCGAACTGACTTCAGACCCCTTCAGACGTGAATGCAACACACGGCCCAGCCGTGTATATCATTAACGCCGCGAACGTGAATATGGGGACCATTCACGGTGAGTGTCGTTTCCTCTCGCCTCGTTCGCGGGTTGTCTTGGCAGTACGGTCCCTGTACACAGCCCTTTTGCCTGGGCGCTTAATTCCTTAAATTGAAGCGTCCGGGCCGAGGTTGGTGATTGGTCCATGAGCTCACATGTTTCTCACGTGCTCCGCACGTATTAGGAGACGTCCATCAAAGCACGTACGACTCGAGGATTCAGAGTAGTCGCCCTGTCGAACGACGAGCGCTCCGATTTGACAACCGGTGCCACTCATTCCATACCGCATATCCTCCTTCGCCTATCGACTCCCCCCAACATCCCGTTCCGCCGTCGACGCTTAGAGATCGCATAACAACCTTTGTCGTAGGGGTATACCGCTGGATATACGATTACGCGTGGCGAATCCAAGACTTAGTACGAAACCGTACACACATAGTGTATGGGAATTTACCCCCTCACGCTCACGAGGAGCCCGGCCACACATCCAGTTCTGACAGTGAAATGCGCGGTTTTCCTTGGTACAGTCCGGTTTGATCTCACTGATTATGTTAGCACTATTCACTTGGACGATGCATGCATATCTATTGTCAACAACTTGTCTACTACACATACACCTACACCGACGTCTATTCACCTACCAACTGTATTTATACTTCTCTACATGGCATAATATGTACATCGGCTTTCATAGAGATTTTTGGTCACTTTTTTTACCCTTTGTTCATCGAGCCTCCAGGCTTCGCGGGGTAACCGCGGTGGAAAGAGGCATACACCCCTTGACCCAGGTAAGAGAAACTTTAAGCGCCCATACATTGAGTCGGAGTTTCATTTCCAATGTCGTGGGACTGTCTGACGCGGTTGAACCTTTCACTTCGTCCGTCCTCCTCGCGCATTTCTCCCGTGTAGCCAGCCGCCGCCCTCTATCATACTCTATCCCCCTGAACGACTCTTCACCACGGTAAATAGCGTGGATATCCGAGATCGCCATCAGATTCGACGATTTGAATCCCACTGACAGCCTTGTCGTGAAACCTTTGCCCTGCCTACGCCAGTGTATCTTCGACTCTGTCCCAACTCGGACCATATTCCTCACAGCCAGATATCCAGAATTGCTGAGCTTCTCGGTGACTTGCTCTCCATGATTCCCCATGTTCGCACATATCTAGGCCTATCGCCACACCGCCGTTCGAGCCGCATTACGACACCAACATTCACGCTGCCACTTGAGAAAAGGCCGATGCCACGGGCACGGCGAGTGCGAGTCTTTACTTTCTTTTAGGGTCGCTTCGACAGCCTGTAAGGATTTGAGACTATGTTGAGTAGGTATCGTCGGCGGGAACGTCCTGGATGAAATTCCCGCGCGGGCAACCTTGGGTGGCTTTGCTTTGTCGACCGAAAATGTCCTCAAAGTCCCTATCTATCGGTGGGTGCGAAGTGCGACCGCATATGTTGCTTGAAGTATCCAGAAGTCACCGCAAACGCCTCGAAAGACTGGGGAGGAAATCATAAGTGACATTAGATATTGATTCTCTTTTGCAGCATACATCTCGAGAACACAATCTCAGCTGGGAGTGTATTTGGGCGCAAGGAGGCACCATTGGCACCTAGGCGCACTCTCAAATAAAC